GCAAGGACTAAATGCCATTTCAGCAAAGGTGTTTGGCCTTGAAAGACAGATAGCCTTGACCTTGACTCAAAAAGAAGATGTGATTTATCCTCACGGGTACAATAAATATGTGTAAATACACACTAGTGATTCAGTTACTTACATGGTATAAGATATTAGGTATGTGGAAATAAACATGAACTAATTTATATCGTAATTAAGGTAAAGACTCAAATTCAAATTTGTTGTTAGATTTCTGTATGTATTTATACCTGTGGTGTTTGCTTTTTATTTGGAAACAACGAGTTATATACATGCTTAGTTAACAAAAACCTCCTAATGAATTTTCATTTTGTTATTGGCAACAATGAAGAAATGAAGGCTGGGATAGGATTTTGATTGGACAAATGCTCAGTTACATTATAAACATTTTAAATTTGAGGTAATATTACTAAGGCAAAACACTTAAGTATATGTAAGACAAGGCAAGGTGGAACCATTAACTTGTGTCTTACATCAGGATGGACAAACGGGATCATTAATACATAAAAGAGGGGGTACAATCACAATCTGTTTACTTTTTTATTCTGTGTATTGTACATGAGTATGTTGGAATTGGCAGGATGGGGAATTCTTCCCAAATCAAGAACCTAAAAATAATAGATAAAATAAAATAAAATATATTAAACTTATAAGAGAATTATTATCAGATTCTCCAGCCCAGAAAAATACTTATTTACTTAAGAGGCATCTTAATTCAATCCAGCTGAAGGTCAAACATTCCTAAGGCAATATCTGGCAGGCCCTGATGCTGTGAGGAATAAACAAATTACTTCCCACCTGTATCGAGAGATATAGATATGCTCTCTGTGGGTCAATCCTGTAGGAAAAAATCTTGTCTTCCTATCTGTGTCAACACCTAGCTGGCCACAAGTGAATACTGCCAAAAAAACTACACACCATGGAGATAATTCCAATTTCAAAGAAAATATCCACTCTAATTTACTTGGAACGTAAATATTAGTGTAAAGCCTATGGCATGCTATCTATCCGCTTATCCTGGCAGTTGCCAACCCTTCCTAGTGTAATGGCCATCATAAAACTGTTAGCACACCAACTCCTCAATTGCCCTGATTACTAAAGGCTTTTATGGTTATAAATGCCCAGGGCTTTGATCACAGGATATTTCATTTGGCAGATGAAGTCAGAAAAGAAGTTCCACACGCACATAGACAAGGACACAGCTTTCATTGTCACATAAACACTTATAATGACACTGAATTTCTTTGTCACATACCAATAAATTACAAGGACACATCTTTCACGACACAAACAAAAACATCTTACTCCTCCTGAATGTAGGGGCATCTCATTTATATATGGCTTTAACGTTTATCTTTGATATCATTCAGAATTTTCAATTTCATTTTCAATGAAATGATTTACCCTATCTCTTATAAAAAAAGTGACATACCAGTTACTTCTTTTTTAAGTTGGTCAGTTTCCCTTCCCTGATAAAGTTTGCTTTCAATTCCATTGAAACTGGGAAAAGTTTCTTTGAAATAAGTTTTACATGATTTTCAAACAATTTTTTCTCTAAGTGAACTCAAGAGAAGATAGCAATCTGTAAAATTTGCTCACAAAAATGGTGTATGTTTTTCTCTACTGGTATAATGTTTATACAAGCTGGGCAGGCTAAAACTCCTACAACCAAATCTTGATTTCAGAGGTTGAATATCTGTAGTAGCCTACTTAAAACGATGTATTTAATTATAACAGGTGCCCCTGGTCTGTGTTGGTCTACTCCCTGTTGAGTCCCGGAAATGCTTTAATAAATGATTCTTTTACGGAAAGATTATTCTATCAAGTTCTTTACATATCAAACACACTCTTTTCAGTGAGTTTGGACAAAAAGGATTTTTCCTTTACAGACTTTGTTGTTTGGTCTTCTGAAAAACTTCTTTCACAGGAATATTAGTATGATCAAACTTCATACAAAAACATTCATATAAGCAACATACAGAATCTGTTCTGAAGGCTTTTGAAATGGTGATTCAGAACATTTACATAATACCCAGTAATATTCCTGTACAAACAAACTCCTATGTGATATTGTGAAATATTAGGTAGATTTGGTGATTATGTATTCAAACATGTTTTTATATTATCTGCATTTTTACTCTGATGTCCTGATTTCATGAATAAAGGGTCACAAAATATCCAGCACTTAATGTCTGAAGCAGGCTGATAAATTCATGGAACATGTTTAAACAATGACCAACGTTGCAGATTATACAGCTCTATTCATTTAAGGCTGACTATCCGACATTGATTTCCTTTGGAAACCATCCCTGACAACTGCCTCACAATGATGGAATTTCTATGGCATAACTTGATATGAGATTTAGTATGTGATCATTGCCATTGTGCAGATGGTGCCCTAACACCTGGTAACCTAGGAAATACATCTGTCAGAAAATATTCTCCACAAATATTATTAAATAGTTCATGTAGCTAAAGTTTGTCCTGAACTAACGGCAAGTACAAGTGCATGGGAATTTAAAACTAAAAATTAAGCTGAAATGTCTGCTTTTCCCTATTTCATCTTCCCTCTGAAGAATTTGAGGAATGTCAAGTGGATGAAGGATTTTATCACTTTTCATTGGACTAACTTGTTTTTTCGTTATTGAATAATTGAACAACATTTTTGTTCTTTATTTGTTAAAAAAAAAGTGTGTAAACAAGACAACTGATACAACCTTTTCATAAGTAAAAATATTAGAAAAACTTTATCTTATCCTTATATCTAAGTGTAAGCCTGAAGCAATTTGTGCGACATTCCCAACTCTTTAACAGTATATTACACTGACCAGACCAGTTACTAGAAACATGTCAGCCAGGAATTAAAGCTAGTGGTGCATGTGGAGCTAATTATTTACCCTGCTTCTGACCTCAACAGGTCACTCCATCAACACCTTCACATTAAATACTCATATACCCAATTTAAACATCACACTGCCCTTTAACCTTCTGTACTCATTCTGACTATAAGAAATATTGAAGATGTGAAGAGTAAACCTATCTCAACATGTTGATATGAGAATAAGACAACACTGCAGTCACCGAATAAACTTATGTAGGGTTTCATAATCAATTTTTTTAACTCATTCAGAAGAATGTCTTTTTTTTTTCTGAATGTCTTTTTTTTTTATTGCAATGAATATTGGTGTGAATCATTTGAATTTTACTAAAAGATGTGTCTGTTAGGACCATGAATTTAAATACAGTATCTAACCTAAGCAGGGGCATCCACCTTTGCCTTCTATACACACTAATTGAAGACATGTTTTATAAAGGTTTCATCCCTAGTATTGTAGAAAGACTAGGCTAGTTTCAGCTGCTAAAGATGTTGGCACCCCATCAAGGTTACTGAGGTTTACAGTGCACTAGTCTGAACTCTTTACAGTACAACTCTAATACAACTGTACACCTAAAGATTCCTATGCATATGCATGCATGTTTGCCAAACTTTATATAAACAGAAATTAGACCTATAGACATGTATTGACAGTTGTAACACACATGTTGTTGACAAAGCACAGCTGTAGCGATGTCACCCAAGAAGAATATCTGCCAATAAATGTATTGAATACTACTCCTGCCATTAATTTTCAGCGACTGTTGGGTAAATAATTTCAGACCACCTCCCAATGGGTGAATTAGGTTTCAGACCATGTCTGATGGATGAATAATTTCTGTCCAGACAGAGTAACAGGTGACTAAATGAAGTAAACTACAAAATCGTGAATGCTTAATATTGATGGGACAAAAAACTGAATCACCAGATTGCTGATTGATATAATGTATTTTCAATGCAAGGATGCCAATATAAATCTAAGAACATCTACTAATTACAAAGCAATTTTGTAAAGATTATAATCAGATAGTTGATTGCTAAAGCGTGTTTTCTGACGATGTATGTTAGTAAAACTAGTGCTGGTAATTTGTACAATCTAATCATATGGATCTAAATGATGGACATACTTATTTCTGAAACGCAGAAATTAAACTACCATTGACTGAGGGGAGCCACAGATTGCAATTCCAGGAGCGGCATGTTAACCAGGCTTATATAAAAAGCATTTACACACATCTCCGACCTTGGAAAACATTAAGGGACTCTGAGAAGTGAGCCTGCTTACATATTCTGTATGCCTGATCAATATGTACAGAATTTTATACCCTGTGGTCAAAAAATTACCACATAAATGTGGGCAGGGTCTAGATATGTATACTAAAACCATACAAAGGTCACCTTGTCCAATCTGACTGACCACCAAATATTCCGGCCATGATCTAGATACCAATCTGTTCTTCACTTCCCTGTTTCTCCACATAAACATGTCTACATTAACCAAGAAAATCCCTGAGGCAAATAACTAGATTTTTAATCAATAACAAAAACTAGTCTTGGGGCAAAAAACAGAAAGACCCAATATATATTGTGGTACTTATCTGTGGCGAATGATCTCTACCAGGATGGAAACTCTACAAAGATATTCCTCTCTGCTCATTTGTGTAGAAGGAACTGTTTATTTCTTTAAAACCATATAAACAATTGACTTGAAGGCAATATTGGACTGCTTTATCTGGATAACCACACAGATTAAGATTCATAGGGTGTAGTACTGTATTTATGGCAATAAATACTCTAGTAATAACATAATATGGCAAAACCTAGTCATGGTGGACAATGATTTCCCTTTCCTTGTAGTATACCATATCTATTACGCAATACACCAATCAACATTTAAATTCTTACCAAAATTAGGGGATGAACTTAATTAAGTACAATAAGACAGCACTGCTTCGTAATTCTTTTGAATTGCAATGTACATGGGAGACCTTATTACCAAGCATGGGTGTATTGCCTAATAAATATGGTATGTAGGGCATATCAACAACTGAAAACTTTTAATTACCTGTTAAAGAGCAAGCAGTAACTGATGACTTAGACTTACCTTTTTTGCATCATTATCTGCATTAGGAACCTGTTGTGGGCTCAGACCAGTCCCATTGGTCATCATGGGTGAACTGGACATCAGGTCGTCTGAGGGTCTCTGTAATGACACAAGAAAAAGTGGTTAATCAGTTATCCTTTTACATCCAGAATACTTTAATATCACACCAAGATCCTGCCACAGAAAGTAGCTTTGGTAGCACAGCCTTTCAATGTCACAACCCCCTTTCAAATCCAATTTTTTAAAAATCTAACAAAGAAAATCCAGTGGAACACTGGAATTAAAGAATTTCCTTCATGGTAATATTCCAGTCTAACACAAGAAACCTTTTAATCTAAATATACCACAATTTTTTTTTTTTTTTTTTATCTTTCCACAGAGATGAATTTCCAGTAAATCACTGCTCGTTAAGCTTCCAAGAATAAACATCAATGTGTCCTGAAGAATTTGAACCCACATTCCTAGCCGAGTATATTAACACTGTACCATGGTCACAAAGATTGGTGTGGCAGGCTAGTTAATGTCGTTGGTCTGGTGTTTTTATGTGAGGTACTGATGTATACATTAACACGTATACCAGTGTACCTTTATTGGACATGACCAGACACGAGGTTTAATTATTCTACCTTCCCTACGCCATCTATTAGTCAATAAACTAACTGTGATTCTTGTTTTATATAATGGTAATAAGTAACTGATGCCAGTTCAAATGGAAATCAGATGCAGGGCCTAGTTATATAAACTACTGAATGCAAATGTAGGTTTTTATTTCTCACTGTAGCAGTGGTTAGTGACAAGTCGGGCTTTATGATGTTTGCATGTTAGGATATAATTCATTCAGTTTCATTGCAATCAATACAGAACAAAATGTTTATGGTACAGAACTCTAGAAATCCTACAGAACTAGAAATACTGTTTAATTCCACTGATGCTGCAAGGCTGCAGATCTTTGAAGAAACAAATGATGTTTAGATATTTATCCAATTCAGAATGCAATCTGGGCTTTAATAGGATTGAATAGTACAGTCCTGTTAAAGTCAAAATGTCAGTTGTAAACGTCACTATATCTAATAAATTTTATCAAAATAAAGACTCAGGTTTTCAAGTAATTTCTTGTAACATATTACTGATACAAATATATATATAGATCTGTTTCAAACTAAATAATATATGTCTTATAAGTGGTGCAATTGTATTGGTAACCATGTAAGAGAAATACCTGCATTTTTTTAGTGTGTTCTTCCCATGACAGTTCTCACAACTATGACATATTGCACTCAAAATGTTTCTATGTAAATCTGAAATTTGCACTAAATTGACATTTGTATGACAGCTTTGCTACAGTCCAGTGATTTGACGACAGAAACGTTTGTTAAAGCTTCAGTTATACACAAGTTCTCCTTAAACTTTTCTTGTCTAGCCAGCTGTACACACATTTTATATCTGGTTCATTTCACAACTTTAATTGAGCTCATAAAGTTGACTTAATATACGTTGAAATATATGTGGTCCTCTTCAAACACATATTTGTATGACAAGAATGGCGAAGAGGGGGAGAGGGGAAGGAGGGGGAGGGATCCCAGACAATTAAGTTGATTCAAAAAGCTTTTTGGGATAACCTATTTGTAAAATAAAAATAGTACATGCAAGAAAAAGATTACATTGCAACATGAACATGAACATATTTACCTCACCATAGCAACAACCCCTACCCAATACCTACAATCCTAAATCCTATATATTTTATTTATGTGAGTGCACTTGATAATAATTTTGATGTCTTATTGCAATCTTCTACAGTGATGTTAACTGTGTCTAGTGTGGTGTGCTCCTTGCTTGATAAACAACCAGACAGAGAAATATCAATTTACATAAAAACACATCATCATCTATCAAATTCTTACAATATAACATGTATTTCATGATACTTCTGAAGGTCAAAAACTCCACAATTTTTCAGACAAAAATGCGATAAAATTCAAAGCAAACAGCTTTGTAATTTTATTCTTATAAAAACAACGTAGAATGAATATTGAATATAATGTCTTTAAGAACAATAGTCGAACTCTTTCCCACTTTCTCTGTATAACAGGAACCATTCCAAACTACTGCACAAAATGGTTATTCTGTTAACCCCCTACCAGGAAACTGCCAAAATCCCAAACCAGTATAATATTTGAATATACTGTAGAAGGCTTACTATCTAACCCAGTTCTTCTGACCAGTGTTAAGTTATGAGAAGACAGTACTGGCTTCTGTTATAGAGATTTCAGTTCACTGTTGCCTGTGTTCTATTTGGCCTGTTAATCTTATCACTGTACATCTCCTGGTGCCAAGACTTTTGAATCTGTTGATGGGTTTAAATTATGGCTGGTTCTTCACAACACTTAAAAGCAGTACATCTGTTCATGTGATTTCCACAACTCTCTGTGTAGATGAAGTGAAGTCAACCAAATTCTTCCAAAATTTCTTGGTAGAAACGCCATAACTGGTAAAATCGTTTACTCAGAATGCACTATTATTGAAGGAAAATTACATATGGGTACATGTATTTATCCCTAAGTGGTGGTGAAGACTAGAATAACAAACACTAGAGACAGTTCTATAATCCACAGACAAGCAAACGAATGGCAGGTCAGATACCTCAGGAGATTTGACCAACAGCAACAACTGGACATAACTTAATATTACAACTGATGGCCAAGCTATTTACCATAATTACAGTTGATATATTGCTGCAGGTCATGCAGTCATAGTTACACAGAAAGATGGGAAAGCTTCTGTACTTGTTCTTGATTCAGCTAATTGGATGTTTAAGGAAAAAAATTCTTTGTTGCTCTTGGTACAATTAACAAGATAAAGATATGATACAACAAATATTCTTGGTAAACCTCGAATAATTTTTTCTTTATCTTATAGATGAACGAAAGCTCCATTGTCTTTCATTGAATTGTGTCAGATGTTCCCTATAGATTCTGCCATGTTTTCTCTGACTGTTTTGTACAAGTCTAGCTTGCTTAAGTCAATATATTCCTTGAATGTTATATAAAGTCTGACTCGGGTACGTTCTGCCAGTACCATACCTGATTTGCATGACGGCTAGACCAACCTTTGAAAACAACCAAATAATCTAAGTTCAACAGAATTAAACAAGTCCAAAAACTGACAACAATTTGAATAAGTGTTTGACAGTCTGAGATCAAACACCAAAACTGAGCCCATTGATTTGATCAAATATGTACTTCAACAGTATATAATCAGGTTTATCCAATTAAATATGCACTGTCTGGATGGGCTGTTTATCTAATTATACAGGAAAGACAAGAACATTGTTTATATCAGTGCCTTTTACAGACTGATGTACCATGTTCTCTCTAGCGTATTTCATTTATACTTTACAAAGCATCACCACCTTTTTCTTGTACATGTTCAGTCATATAGCGTTAATGTTTTTCTTAAACAAATTATAAAATTAATGATGCATGATCTATTTTAAACCTGTTACCAATGTCTCTAGAGTGTATGTTCTGAATGTTTTATACTGGGTTTGTCTGCACACAACATTGGTATCAGATATAGGGAGGAAATTGCGCTTTCCCCCCACGCTATGATAACTGGATTAATGGTGAAGATATGAGTGGCGCACAGAAATTGTCCAGGACTGGCCGGCTGTTGTTGACAGTGGCCAAGGGCTACATTACATATGAATAATTGACTATTTCCAGCAGTTTCACCAAGCTTCTATTTAAATCTACCGATGTCATCGGCAAACAGTTAAAACATTATCTATTGGTTGTTTGATACTGGCATGGCAATCATGAAAAGGATATGTTTAAAAATTTATATATGACTGCAATATAGAAATGAGAAAATATATGCATATTGATGGCATTGTTTAGTCCTGTAACATGAATACTATCTAAAATTCATGAAACTCTGGAAAACACACTAAAGAAATCAGCAAAATATGAGAAGATCAATTTCATCCCCAAGCAACCATAACAACAGCATTGGCACAAATGTGTAAATAAAAAATGTTGGCCAATGTGCAGTGTAGTTTGCATGTTTGTCTTGACAAAGCCAGTGCACAATGCAGCGTGCATGCTGCACAAACAAGTGTGCTTCCCCTGCTTCCCCATGGCCTTCTGATGTCATTTCTCAATGTCTTCATGGTGGAAACAATTCACAGGCAGTTTGAGTGAATGTCAAGTCAGCCATGTTCTCTTTTAATGCTAACCTGTTTTAACGATAGACATGCTAACTACACACAAGGTGCCTTAAAACTGCCATTTTCTTCGCATAGAGTTCTACAATGTGAAACATGACATGCCTTCCTTAGCACCTCACACTGTACCTTATGCAATAACCAGTACTATCAACTTGTAATTATGAAGCTATGAATACCTCAAGCACCTGTTTGTAACAAAACTTCTGTGATTTTGTTTTCAGTAAATGGCAAAAGAATTAAGCTTTTGAAACATTCATGCTTTATTTAGAAAAAAAATGTAAAGAAAATAGAATAAATGAAACATTTAAAAATATGAAAAAGTAAAAAAGAATAAAAAAAATACCCTCTGGTAAAAGTTGTTTTTAGTTCTCTCAGCGTGTAATTTTGAATGTTGTTTCATTATAGAAGTTTTGACAAGTTTGACAGATGAAAACAACTGAAGGATTTAGTTTATGACAATGACTGATCTTTAAACTATAACAATCTTAAGGCTGTGAGGTTTAAGGTTGGTTTTAATAACAGTGTGATGAATGCCAATCTGTGTTGAAATGTCTAGACAATAACCATGCAATGTGTAAACAACACACTATTACTTTTTTGAAGCACTTCAACAGAATTTATTATAACAGTTAATCGCTGGTCTTAAACACACATTTGGTTGAGAATATAATACATTTTAACATGATAACATTTGAAGCAGTGACCGACTACTCAAAATTACTCCATCGGACATCAATAGTTGGTAATTATCATCCTTTTTTCCAATTATGAAAGTTACAGTATTTATAAAGTTTTATTTAACTTATTTCACAAAGCATGTATAAACATGTATTGACATGGCAAAAATGATGAATTTAGCATACCAACTTTAAAGCTTCAGCATGAACTATTCAAGCATACACATTCAGTATCTATTTGATCTGTTCAGTTGAATCACTATTGTGTCATCATGCAAGTTTAAACTGTAATTGACTGACGTTATATAAATCATGCTTGACTAGTTCACTCATTATTGCATATCAAACATCAAAAAGCAAGTTGAAAAGAAGATTCCTTTTCTGTAAAGAGCACTCAACCAGTAGAACCCCAGTTACTTAGAGGACACAAATAAAACAAACACATAATTACCAACCTAGTCCGGAGGTTATAGTATTTACGGTAAAACATTTAAAACATATTAACCTTAATCATTATTTGCCTGCCTCCCTGGCATCAAACAATAATTACAACCGCCACACATAAACAGGTCTTTAATCGGGACAATCAGGCAATATCCACTTGTGGTAATTTACATAATTATTCCCTTCCAAAATGCCTAAAATGATGGCCGTACCCACATTTCATGGTGATGACATCAGGATATTGATAGCGACATTTAAATTTCTGCCTATATTGGATTCTAGTCTAAGCTTGCCACCCTAATAGCTAATACTGCTGTCAAATATTTTCTAGCTGTGTTATCTCCAAAAAACCTTTATAAAATTACAAAACTTTACACACATCCACTTTGCACAATTACCATTTAATTTACAATTCAAGTTTCCTGTTTGTGTCGTAAAATAGACTTGGACCTGGAGGATGGCAGATCTCTTGAAACTGTCCAAAATGCCATCCCTCAGACAAGTAGTGTAAGAAATCTATTAAATAGACTGGTAGGGTGTAGATTACACGCAGGAAAACATGCATTACATTCTTCTGATATATACTCTGTACATCACTTTAACTTGTCAATATCTGATACCTTTTTCATTCGATTCTATTGCAGAAAGCCATAGTTGACTATGACAAGGCGAGAAAATTATGAAACCTTATATGAAGTAGTCAAGTAGATCTTGACAAGTGCCTTTTGATGTCGCTACACAGACATGATCCGACTCCTCACTACTACTAAAGCTTATAACTATTCCATCAATAATATTTTTGTAACAATTACTTTAGTAAAAAACAAAAAAAATCCCTCATGATTATGGAGTAACTGGATTAAAAGGTATGGTATACATAAAACTAAAGGTTTTTTAAAGTCTTGCAATTCAGTATGAATAGGAAAACTTATACAAAGGAGAATTTCAGATTTTATTCAAATGATCACAAAGGATAGATTAAAACAGCTTAAGTGATTTGTTTAATTCATAAAATCTATATATTTAATCACTGGAAAAAAAAGCCTGGATTGACTACTTGCCCTAATACATAATGATGATGATACAATAAGGTTCCAACTAATGGTTAATGTCTGACCTTGCTCCTCAGATTACAGGTCAACAGGGGTTATAATACACTTGGATTCCAAAGTGACAGGTATACCATACGGTGAATTTTAGGCATTTTCTACATATGTATCATAGAATCCACCATGTTATACAAAAATCTGGAATGTTTGCCTGTGATTCAAGACCTATGTTGGCAGGGTAAAAAATGTTAAGTGTTTATGAAGACTTAATTAATGAGTTTGTATTTTTACCTGGCTGTATAGGTAAGGCCACAAGCTCGTTTACTTACAATGTATTTGCTACCTGTCATAAAGACCTGACCTATGCATCTATCATGGAGCCTATACTACATCTTTATACAACTGAGTGTATTTCTTTGCTATCAGTATGTAACTCCACAACTCATATAAGTTGTTGATCAGCCAGTACACAGGTTCTCCCTTCAGTATACTAAACCTGTAAAGAGTTCTCTTATATATAAAATATATGTAGTGGTAGAAAACTAGTTTATTCACATAAAGATACTCCAGATATGCATATCACATACATTAGATGTGTCAAAAACCCACACAAGCATAAATAAAGTATGAGATGTTTATGTTGTTAGTCCACTTATTACATGTAACAGTGAGTCAACATATTGAAATGCTACACTTCACTAGCCTGACACAGAATAACTACACTATTCCCAGATAGGAGATTTTGCAAGGATTTTGCCAGCATTTGTTTTTGTATTATGGCATATTTTTTCTTGTGCTGCATAACCTTTTATATTGCATTCCTTTACAAGTCTACAATGTCAATTCTTTTTGTAGTGTTATTGTACAAAATTAGGATTTTTGGAAAAAATCTCTTCATCTCCCATGTGAAAAGAAAAGCTTTTATTGAAAGATTTCATGTAGAAAATAATTTTTAATTAAGTTGTTTAAGCCAATTTATCTATGGCAACTAAAAACGATTCACACTTGTTCAGATAACACTTTGTAAAAGCCATATAAATTTTGAGGTTGTGCTGCCTCCCATAGGAAGATTAAAATAAGATTTATTTAGAAATAACAATAACTTCACACAATACATCAAGGTATTTCACTTTATATTTGTCAACTGCTCCACAATAGGCAATTGGAGGTATGCACTGACATCTTGACGTTGCATGCAATGCAAACGACTGAGGACACACAACTCACTAGTCTTCCTGCTGATAATTGCCATTGATCTGATGATACAAATACTGTAAAACACTTCACATCCAGCTAGGACAAACTACGCAGATCTAAATCAACTGTAAACAGATTGCAAAATATTCCTAAATATTCTTCAGAAATTCCTCTGTTTCCACAAAGCCTTTTTTATTTCATGATTGCCACACACCTTCAATACCGATACTGTCATTGATAATACAATTCCCTAGCAGAGCAGGATTGGTTTAATTGCCAAATCCAGTAAGATTTATTGAAATCAATCACATGGAAAATGGCGCCAATCATGAAACCTTGATGAAAGAGCGAGCAGGACTGACAGTTTCATTGAACAGAAGAGATTCTTCCTTGATTTCCAATCAGAAGATCGGATCTGGTCCAGGATGACTAGGGTCCCCCCAACCTTGTAGCTGAGTTAAATGTTCACACAGACATAGTTAAGACACCAGCTATTTATATGTGTGTATGTGTGTGTGTGTGACAGTTTCTAATAGGTTCTCAACTTACCCAATACAACAGGGACATTTGTATCATGGAGAACATCTGAAAGCTTTTAATATAAGCACATATATCTTCCCTCTTAAACTTGCATTATGAAAAAAATCACACGATACATCTCGCCTGTTGTGCTAATACGGAGAATCAGCCATGATCAACAAACTGCATTAAATTACAACCCGTGAGATATGCACTCATCCAGAAAAAAAACGTGTTATGAGACCTCATCATACAAAATTGTACAGACAAGACTCAAAGTTTGGTGTTACAAAAATTGTTATATAAAGAAACCAGGCTGTGTAGTTTAACTAACGATGACAAGAAAAGAAAATACTCACGTTTTCCATATGAAGACCGAGCAGAAAGATAGAAAGAAGGTGATGAGGTGACCGGTGGTTCACAGAGAGCTACCTAAGGGGGAGAGAACAAGGAACAGCAGCCCACATTAGCAGTAGCACATGCACCTCAAATCAGCGGCTTGATTGGGCCCAGTATCCAAACAGTATAGTAGAGAGGAGAGAGTACACACGGCTGCACTGTAAGAGAGTGGTGTTGGGAGTGAGGCAGCAGTTCCTCAGTGGGCAGCTATCCTAGTCAGCAGCAGCAGCAGCAATATTTGAGTGGCCAGCACTGTATCTCCCTATTGTCAGGCTGTATAGTCTCCACACTTGGGCCAACACCAAAGTACTGCAGCCAGTCCAGTTTTCACTCTCCAGGTGACTGTCAGGGAGCTGGGTATACACACCACAGGAAAAGTCCAGGAAATTATGTGTTAGTAGCAGAGTGTCAAGCAAGGGAGAAAAAGAGTCCGAAGTAAAGAGAGAGACTGTCCTGTATCCCACACTACCTTTTAATGTTTGTCACCGACTCACTGTGTATAAACCACTATGGCTACCAGAGCTTATTTCCTCAGGGTATTAAGCAGCTATTTATACACGCCATACATTCTCTCAGAATGTGCACTCTTCTTTACACACACATATATATAGTGGCATGTGTGAAATGTAATGTATAGAGTAATGTTAAAATTGTATTCACTTCATATCTCTATTCAGTGAGAAGCGGTCTCTTATAGAACCAATTCAAATCAGTCAACCTTAAACCAGTAGGAAGGTAAAAGCTTATGTGGATCGGTTTGTCAAGCAGGTACATATTTTTTTTTCATGACTGAATTGTGATTATACCCAATGACAGTTTAAACCTGTAACCAATGACATCAGGACAAGGGTCTAATAATGGTAAATGGCCCACCTCTCAACAACTTTCTGAGCTTCCTATGATAAGTTTGTCAGGGGAAATTTGTTTGGCCAACAGATAAACAATTTTTGACCTCCCTATGAAGTCCAGAGAGGCCCAGCTGATATTTAATGATCATTCACTTTTCATACCCTGTTTTTTAATTCCTTGCAAAGTGGAACTTGAACCTTTCATACCTAATGGCCAAAATCAACTAATCCAAACTATTCATTAGCAGAGTCCAAAGAGGCTACAGGAGGTGTCACAGGGTTTACCTATTAATTGCTTAGATCAGGATTGAACTTGTTTTGGTTCAATTCCTATTGATCTTTCCACCTGGAGCTTCACCGAAGTAGTACACATAAATACTTTTAATTATAAAATATCATTTATCCATTTAGGCTACCTACTGGGTGAAAATTGGCTGCCGCCAGGTAAGCTAGGTGTATGTAATTACAGGTATATCACAGGTAAAACATGGTCTACTTCATAGACATGTTGAGACGAAAAGGAGGAGGGAAAAAAACGTTAATTGCTTTTGCCTAATACATCATCATAACTAAATATTGCTGAAAGACCAAATAATATTTGGAAATGGAAAAAAAAACAAACTAATCTTAGAATATTTTCATGAAATTTTAAATGCAGTTTGATTTTTAAACTTTTCAATGTATTTTCTTGTTATGAAGATAAGTTATGAAGTACAGAGGATGCTATTAAAAACAAGAAAAGAAATGTTCAAAAGTTTATCTTTCTTTTTATTACAAATCCAAATTATTCATTCAGAGAGGTCTTAAGTACACATGCTTTTTAACATCGTTTACATAAGATTCTAATGTGTTTCTAAAACAATTCTACATATGCTAATAGCATGCTAATGAATATAACTAGCCTTGTCCTCATGAGATTCTCTGTGTTCCAGTTTCAAAAATCATCTAACAAATCAGTGTTTGTTCACAGATATTTTTCAAACTGTCATACATACAGTATGCAAATTATATGAAATTTCAAATGATTTCAAAAGAGTAGGAAGGCTACAAATAAGAATCACCATTCTGATTATATCTCATGGAAAGGTCAGTATTTAGTTCCCCAGGACAGTAATGCTTGGTATAATCATGAGATTATCAGTCTCACACGCATGTCTTGTAACAGTTGAGTACATTTCAGGTGTACTTAAACAAGAAAGGTCAGTTTATTTCAAGGGCGTTACATAAAGCAAATGTTTTATTAAATATTGGAATGGACATGAGTAGGCCCCATCTGGTGTATAAATACTCAAATCTCCAGGATACACCAGTAATTTTAGGTTTTGTCAGCACCAGCAGTTTCACAAGAACCTGATAGACACATGGGCATTGACATCCCTTCCATCTCCTAAGCTCAATACAGCAGCACAAAATCTAGATAGCAGAAATGACCCTCACAGCCACAAATTTCCATAATGGACCCAACAATCTATTGATCTGGGTCATGGTTAATGTGTAGGATAGGGGGGAATTCAGGACAGGCAAGTTTGTGTACAGATCTCTCACACTTGTATAAACACTTATTTCCACCAAATTCCACCATCTCGCCATCCATGACCATATACTATCTACTTTATATAAACAATCCTTACTTTGTTTAATAAAAAATGTAAACGAGAACAGGGTTTCTTCTCTGGTAGAAATGGTAGTGTACATTAATATCTAACCAACACCACAAAAGACTACCAGAAAATCTGATTCACTGCAAGAACCCAAGGGACTCATAGCTATTAGACCAAGTTGACAAGTGCTATGGATGCATGTGAAAACATACTAGAATCCTGAGCAATCTGCAAATAAAACAGCAGTCGCCCAGGAGCAAGCAGTGATGTCTCTATCTCCACTGAGCATCACCAGATAACATCTCTGCAACATAATACAAGAGTTTTTTCTTGAATCAAAAAAAAAATTCCAAGGTCAAATTTATTTGATTTTCTTTTCTTTATGATCTATTTGATAATCTCATTCTTTTTTTTCGCTAAATTTCATCTTTGATAAAACTGCTGTTGATGCAGCCTTAGATTCTCTCTATCACCAGACAGACATTAACAAGTCAACACGACCATGTTGGAGACATTTTAAGTGAGATTTTATATTGTTTTGATCAGGCAGTCAGTGCCATTGATGGTAGATTTCCTGATCAGACTACAGCTACTAAAGCTGGTATCTACAACTGGAATCTCCACTGTTAGGTTATGAGCACTCCCTTGGATACAATCATAGCATTTTTCATTTTCTTCCACAACAATTTGAATGCATGTAATTCTGAATTCTATGTTTTAAATTATCACAGGGCAATCCTACAGAATTATGCCACAGTAATTTCAGTCTGGTCTTTTATCATCAATCATTGATGAATCATTAAATCCAGTAAAACCCAAAATGATTTCAGTAATACACAGGAACAGTTACTAGTCCCTAGTTTCTCTGAAGGATGTAGGAGTTATTCCCCTTAATTCAATCAGTAGCAATGGATTTGAAGTACTAATTTTTCTCAAGATGGGATTTGCTTTTCATTTTAAAATGCAGGTTTTGAATAAGTATAACTATTTAACACATCAACATAATTCTAAGATTTTTAACAACTTTTATGAACTAATGATCAAGAACTGTGACATAATTTTTTACTACGAGAAATTATCCTAATAAAATTATTTGTTGAAAAACCCATAAAATCTATTAATATCCATATCAAGTGTTGACCATGTAAGGTATCAATATCATTCATATCTACATGGGGACCATTTGATATCTAAGGCAATACTTAATAAAAATGCAAGATATTTCATTTTCAATCTATAAAGGAAGACAACTGATGTTAAAATCTGTATTGTCGTGATAGTGAATACCCGAGATATTCCATTGTTGTTATCTTGTCTAGGTTATCACAAGCTTTATTGATTTTTGATGATTTTTAAAAAAAAAAAGTTTTAATGATCCTTTATATGTCTTTAGATATTTTATTGCTGTAATAACAGACAATGGTCTTACCTAGTCTGTTCTATTGTTATATCCAAGATGATATTGACAGGTATACAGAAATAAGTAGGATAAGCTTTCACTTTACAAGTAATTTGTATTGGAAAGTAAAAACATTGGCAGAACCTCAAAGCAATCTGTAAAAAATCTCTTCTTCATCAAGCTACCATGTCAAGATCAATGTATCAATTATCATTGAGCTCGTAAAACGGCATGGTGTCACACCTACATCTTTCAATAGCCTGCAGTAAATGAAGTTGGCGTTACTGTTCCACTGAAATATTGATGCATGTATTTAAAGGGAACACCATATATACACTAGGGTGCCAAATCCAATCTCAATTCAATATCTAACAAATCATAGGGGTGCTTATAACATTAACTCTGGATTGATTTTTGTATAAGGAGAGTGAGAGAGTTAGACAAATTTACAATAGCCTCCCGATTGCAGCTTAATAAGAAATTTTGTAATTCCAGAATCAAACTAACCATGGAATAGATATAAGTTGCATTAGACCTCCAAGGCACAAAGCAATTTTTGTGAATCCCCGTTATGCAAACTTTATCATATTAATTTCCTGACTGTGTAAAAATTTGACCGGTCGCCCTAGAGCTGATTAAATTAGGATAAGGGACAAAGGGAAAGTAATTAAATTGTATCTTAACAGCTGCTTTTGGATTTAGCCTTGGGATAGCTTACCACAACTGTCTGATGCTCTCATGCTCTACAGAGTACCGACAGTAAGCGTCCAATGCTCTACAGAGTACCGACAGTAAGCCTCTCATGCTCTACAGTACCGACAGTTAGCCTCTGATACTATACAGAGTACCAACAGTTAGCTTCCAATGCTCTACAGAGTACCAACAGTTAGCCTCTGATACAATACAGAGTACCAACAGTAAGCTTCCAATGCTCTACAGAGTACCGACAGTTAGCCTCTCATGCTCTACAGAGTACCAACAGTTAGCCTCTGATGCTCTACAGAGTACCAACAGTAAACCTCTCATGCTCTACAGAGTACCGACAGTTAGCCTCTCATGCTCTACAGAGTACCAACAGTAAACCTCTCATGCTCTACAGAGTACCGACAGTTAGCCTCTCATGCTCTACAGAGTACCGACAGTTAGCCTCTCATGTTCTACAGAGTACCGACAGTTAGCTTTCGATGCTCTACAGAGTACCAACAGTAAACCTCTCATGCTCTACAGAGTACCGACAGTTAGCCTCTCATGCTCTACAGAGTACCGACAGTTAGCCTCTCATGCTCTACAGAGTACCAACAGTTAGCTTCCGATGCTCTACAGAGTACCGACAGTTAGCCTCTCATGCTCTACAGAGTACCAACAGTTAGCTTCCGATGCTCTACAGAGTACCGACAGTTAGCCTCTGATGCTCTACAGAGTACCAACAGTAAACCTCTCATGCTCTACAGAGTACCAACAGTAAACCTCTCATGCTCTACAGAGTACCAACAGTTAGCCTCTGATGCTCTACAGAGTACCAACAGTAAACCTCTCATGCTCTACAGAGTACCGACAGTTAGCCTCTCATGTTCTACAGAGTACCGACAGTTAGCTTTCGATGCTCTACAGAG